GGGGAGGGGGAGGGGAGGGGGGTCTGACCAAGGCATCGATGACACGGCAGTGTTCGGTTGCGGACGCAGATGATGTGGTTAACCGACCGCCCTGCCCCGCTCCACTCACTGCGTGGGGGAGGTATGGAGAGGACACGTGGGAGTGGGAGTAGGCCGAAGAGGATACGAGTCTGAAACACTGCCCGAGTCCCGGCGAAACGACGTCATCGTGAACCTTGGAGGGTGGCCGATGACGCCAGGCCCACCGCCGCCGCCGCTTCCAGCGCGGGCTCCGCTCCCAACGCTCCCGCCGAGCATCGTGTGGAAGGTCGCGCCCGGCGGCACGTCGCCGATGACGACTACCTTACCGCGCAGACACTGCTTTCGTCTCGCCTACTCCCTGCCCCGAGCCCTGCCCCCTCTCCATCGCCTCATCGCGGAGCTTTGTTGACGGAAGCAGCAGGACGGCCGACCCACTGCGCTCCGGCGCCGGGCCCAGACCGGAAGTTGGCCGGACCGGAAGTTGGCCGGTCTTGGCGGAAGCGGTGCACGCTTGTTTAACCAGACTGGCCCACTTGCCCTGGAACAAGTAGCCTCCCCTCGGGCTCCTTGGCTGTGACAAACGAGGGCGCTGGAGCGCGACGCCCTGTGGCTCGCGCCGTGGCCGCCGCGGAGGTGGTCCAGCCCAGGGCGGCGGTCGTAAAGCCCCGCCGCACTGGACACCAGCAAAGTGGTCGCCTCGAGCCCTTCTCTTTAAATACGAGCGTTCACCGATTTTTCTCGATTTTCTTGACTTTTTCTATTTTCTGAGAAATCTGTTTTTTTGTAGGTTGTACAGTGATTTTTTTTATAATTGAAATGCCACCAGTGTCACCTTCATTGAAACACTGAAGATGCGCCCAGCGATAAAGGATGCATGGGTGCTCCTGAGCAGAGAGTATGGCAAGGAACACGTGTGCCAATACCCTCTAGAACGCGTGATTTGCACCTAGACCTAGAATGCATCCCCATAGCCCTCATTCCTCTCATAGCAGCGCTTTTCAGGCAACTTCTCACCCGGACGCCGCCCTCTCCTCCCGTGGGCGACCACTGGCCTCCGAGTGAGTAGGCAACCCAGCGGCACGCATGCGGTGCGGCACGGTATGGTTACGAGACCAGCAATACCTCTACGATGCCAACATCTTACTGGTCGGTGTGTACTGTACTACTTCTAACAGACAAACGGAAAGTAACTATGGACACGGACACGGACGACGCCAGGTATATCGAAACACAATACGTGCAGCCATATGGGGGATAGGATGAGAGGCGACAGGCGGCTGATAAGCGATTCAATCGAACTCTATGAGCCGACGTACCTGTCTATGAGTGCCGACGAGCGGAGCGGACATCGGCACGAGCCGAGCCGAGCCGACCCGAGATCGAGTCGGGCGGCCGGAGGTGTCAAATGGGTTGCCTGCTCGCGCGGCGCTCTCTACGAGCTGGCAGCGGCGGCCAGGCGACGCGGCGGCGGCGCTACAGGTGTAGGGGGGCGAAGGCCGCCGGAGGCCGCGAGAGTGACGCTCTCTGGCGGCGGGAGGGGCAGGCAGGCCATCGATCAGATGGAGAGAGAGGACACAGCAGTCCAGGAGGCTGCCCGTGGCGCGGTGGCGCTGCAGTCGCGCGAGGGCGTCCTGGGGGCCGTGTCGGCGGGTCCTGCAGGGGGTGGGGCGCGGAGGGCCCCAGCGATATAGATTTTCCCTTCGGGCTGGCTGGAGTTCGGCGGTGGCGGTGGTGGTTGTGGTGACTGCGGCACCAGCCCCAGTGCGCCTGCAACCCCTGCCGCGGCAGCGCCACCCCCTCCACCCCCTACCCTCCTCCGCGCCGCCGCGCTGCCACCCCCCTTGCAGCCCGGCGCGACCCGGCACCGGGAGCCCAGTGGACGGGACGGAGCGCATCGCCCAGCCACGCCGCGCCCCGCCGCGCCGCCCGGCCCGCACCGCGCGGAGCACCGCGGAGCCAGCGGACCAGCGGAGCGACCTGCTCCAGCAGCAACATGCCGTCGGCATGACCAGGCACCAGGCCAGGAGCGTCGCCCCGCCGCCGAGGCCCCGCCGCGCGCGCGGGTAGCCCCCGCGGGTAGCGCCGCCCCCCAGCGCCCCCGCCAGCCTGAGGTAAACGAGTGATCACATGTGGTGTTGTTGTCGTCGTCGTCGTTGTTGCTGCTGTTGTTGTTGTTGTTGTTGTCATAGTCTTCGCCGTAGTGCCCCTCTGGAGGGTCGTTACCCCGTTCGATTCCGACGCTCATGCCAGCAAGGCGTTAACGCGCCAGGCCGCCCTTGTCCCAGCCGCGACCCGCACCCCGCCGCGCCCCGCCCCGCCGCGCCACCACCCCTCTCGCCCCGCGTCGTTGTTTTGGCTGGCGAGCCGACTGGAGAGTGGCGCGAGGCGACGCGCGCGCCGCCCCTCCGCCCCGCCCCGCCCTCTCAAGGAGCCCTTTGTAGTTTCTTTCCGATTGGGCCGGGAGGCAAACGTTTGCGTCGCGCGGTGGACTGCCGCAATTCATTTTCTTTCATCTTTAGTAATATTTTCTTTATTGTCCCGCATGAATGGAGTTTTACCTCGGCTTCCACGCAATATCTGCCTTTTCTCCCTTTCAGACAAAGCAGAAATAAAACACTCAGTATTTCCTCGTATAGTCGACAGTTTCAATGGCGTTCATGATTGGATCCAATCTTTGTGTGCGATTGTGATTTG